TTTTTTTGGGGGGGGGGGGGGCTTAGGTAGTGACTAACAATTACCTACATTTCTTGAAATATAATAAAATGTTTAGTCTTTCTGTTTTTTGAAGAGGTACATGTATGAACTTACTATAATATGCAACTTGTGAATAATTTACCTGTTGCTGATTCTCACTTGCAAAGAGTTTGAATTAAGTTACATTGAGCTCCTATCCTCATGGATGATTCCTATAGTCATACATATATCGGTTACAATCTGAAAATGCATTTTTTTTTTTTAAATACATGAAACATTTCATTATTTACTTCAATCGCATTATGGTTAATGTCACCACTCCAAGCACTGCCATTTATTTCATCATTGGCATTGAATTGCCAGTGACAGCTTACCATTTCCATAGTCTAGTGCCATAGACTTTGTACATGGTGAAGGTATACACATGGAATGAGAGGTGAATCGAACCACACTTTAGCCCCTTTCTTTTATCTTTAGAACAATCTTAAGACATTTATTGAGTTACATGCATGATTAAAAATTGTACATTCATGGGTAGAATTTTGAATGATTCCTGCCAAGTTTGGTTACATGTGATCATGCATTTTGACCAAAAAAATTGATAAATCTGTTCCCTTTTCCATTTAGCCCCCACCCCTGATCCTAATGAACCCACCCCTGATGAAGGTGACAATAGCTAATCTTGAGCCTTCTGTTCATTGAGCTTCAAATCAATCCCAGAAAGTCATACCTGAATGAGATTAGCTGGGTGGTCAATGCTGTGCTGGAGGCTAGGGTGTGTATGCATGGGTCACAGCTGCAGAAAACACCCTACAAAAATTGTGCCTAAAAAGAGAATTTAAGAAAAAGTCAGTAAGTGACCTGTGCAATTAATACCCATATCAGGGCTGCACAAGAATTAGGTCATAAGTTTCAAGAATAAGGTTATGTGCCAACTAATGCCCAGAAAATTGGATTGTTTAGGTCTATTCTAAAGGTACGCTACAGCTCTAAGAGTCTATCAGTTCAGTACGTACCATCTACAGGTCCTTTGGATTCAAAATTACTGAGTCTGTACTCTAATAAGTAATCAATAGTCTGTCCATCATCAAAGGTGTTCAAGTCTAAGATTGAGAAGAGCCACCTACGATTCAACTATCTATTCTTTGCGCCCTCTCTCATCTGCTGCAATCATATACCAACTGGTCCATCATCGTATACATCCAGATCCAGAAATCGTTACAAGTGTTTTCAAAACTTTTTCCTAGAACTTACATTCCATTACCCCTCATCTTGCTGCCTATTCTTCTATCTAATTTAATTTCTTATTTCAATTCAGTTTCTTTTTTTAACACTTACACTGAATAGGATTATAAGAGGAATTATCTTACTTGGAAACTCTGGATAGAACCCTTGTCCTTGTCCTTCGATTGGTGAGCTGAGCCTGAGGGATATTTCTTCTCAAATGCTGCCTCAGTGTTGCCGAAGAACACGCTGAAGACAGAAAACAAAGAAGCAGTGATGATTAGTGAGGCAATTTTTTTGTTACCAAAATCATTAGCTATTCTTTTTTGGAAGATGGGAGATGAGTATGTGGTCCATGCATGGATGGACCATATACATACATGTATGATATAGGGTCTAGAGTCTACTCCCAACTAACTTATATAGATGTAGATCCTACACATGTATTAACACTTATGTATGACATTAGTTTAAGTTTGTCGATGTTTTAGCCAGGCATTAAGTTACTGAAGAAATACAATGAATACAAAATTAAAATATTGAAAACACAATCAATAATAATAATAATCCGCTTTTTTATAGTGCTTAAGAGTAAGACATTAATAATGTATCTAAGCAGTTTACAGATTATTATTACCCCGTCCCCGGTCATCGGATTCAATCAGGATTGCCCGCACACAATGTATGCACATTCTCCACTCCCTGGGGGAGTATTCCAGCCATGCATGCAGTCTAGGTCTAGTCCTTATTTATAATATTTCAAAACTTATTGATTTTCTACACTCGTAGTTACTAGTACAATAAACCACCCCTGCAGGCATGGGGCTCACTACGTTAGCCCCATGGTGTATACCTATCTAAAACGCACAGGCAACAGTGTTTTTCCCCCCAAAGAACTGGTTAAATAAACTTTTCATGCACACTGGTTTTTGTTTATTAATCTTACTTTGCATTTGTCAAGTAACTATTTCAGCAACATTTAAACATTAAAATATTGTAAATTTACTGAGAAAAAAAAAAAAATAATAATTTTATCAAATAGCTCAACATGTTAGCAATGAAAGTTAATATGAAGACAGTAAATTTATTAAATAAATAAATCCTCTATTTTTAGTGCTTCAACATACTCAACAGTGTTGCACTGATGTTTTTTTATTAGCCTCTAGATACGTAAATGTAAACATTTTGACAAAATCCCAGTTACTGTTAATGTTATTACATGGCTAGAAGTGTAAGGACTAAGGGTGACAATAAACCTACTAGTAAACTGGTACCTAGCAAATAATTTGAACAACATAGTCATAGAATCTAGATCTATACTGTGGCGGAATCAAGGGGGGGGGGGGGGAATCGGCCATGGCCCTCCCCTTCTCCTTTTTGTTTGCTTGTCAAGGAATATTTTGGGTAGATCTAGACTAGAAAACAGACACTTGAAAAAGCTAAGGATCATTTTTTCCACTTTTTTCGCTGGTCAGCGAATTTTTCTGGTGCCTGATGAGGCCCTGAGGCTGAGCAGACTTCGGCCTAGACAGGAATAACCATCTTTCTGGGGGCATTCTTTTGACAAAATGACAGAGCTCAGAGGCATTTAGAGAAGCCAGATATGCAATCTCAGCGGATCCAACCGTCAACGCCAAATAGAGGCTGATATTTCGGTCCAACTTCGGCCCTCCCTTTTGAAAAATCCTGGATCCGCCGCGCCGCTGAAATAGATCTAGATCTATACTAAGACTAAGTTGCGGTGTATTGCATATTGCATAGTTGAATCTAGATCTAGACTCTACACACTAGACATCGACAATAGCCGTGGAATATTATGAGGTTTTTTTTTTTTTTACAATTCTGACATTTGCTTGCTTTTTCCTCGTATATCTAGACTAGTCTAGATCTATACATACGAAAATTCCACACTTCTACTGCAATGCGAGCACGTAAAAAAGTAACGTCTAGATCTAGTTTACTTCGTCTCTAGCTTGCAAAATGACCACAGCCTTCCCAGCAGGCCAAGCCCAAGGCCAGGGTCCCAGACCCAGACCGCGGAGAGCCTGAAGCGTCGGGCCCCAGAACAGGGCGCTTCAGATGGGGACTGCAGTCTGCTAATTGAGCAGTCTTAAAATTAACGTTACACAGATCTAGAACTGATCGCGAAAAAGAGCAAATCTGTTAAATTAGCTGTTTGTTCACTTTTACATTGAATGACCCGGCCATAAATAAGTAAAAGAAGTGAACTAACCTTCAATCCTCGCGATTGCAACCGGCAACTTCTGGTTGAATTCAGTCGATCTACCGTAGACGTAACTTAGTAGTACATACGTACAAGGCCTGGCATGGCATGGCCGCCTGGCTATATACTGCATTAAGCAGCGAGCGCGCTAGCGCCAGCGCGCGCAGTCTAGTCTAGCCTCGCGGGTATTATGTTGTTAACCCGTGGACTACTGAATTCTCTCACTCCCATAGGCTTAATACAGGGACCACCCGGTTCCAGTATGCAATGGACTTATACGAGATACTATCTCATTAAAACGAGATACTATCTCATTAAAACGAGATACTATCTCATTAAAACGAGATACTATGTCGTTTTAACGAGATACTATCTCATTAAAACGAGATAACTATCTCGTTTTAACGAGATACTATGTCGTTTTAACGAGATACTATGTCGTTTTAACGAGATACTATCTCATTAAAACGAGATACTATGTCGTTTTAACGAGATACTATCTCATTAAAACGAGATAACTATCTCGTTTTAACGAGATAAAAATATTTTTACCATGTCCCTTCCCGGGCTCCGTAGAATGGTTAAAGAAAGAAAGGGAAAATACTGTGGCCATATTGATAAACATCAGAGTCTCTTGAAGATTTATTGGAAGAAAAGATAGAAGGTACCAGCAAGACCAAAGGGGAGGTAAACCAAAAACTAACTCCTACGTCACGAGGCGCTGAATTCTCCGTTCTGTGAAGATAATTTTACAATAAATTTAAAGAACTACTGTGAATATTAAGACATGGAGTGGAATGACACTGTCAAGGTGTACTTAATTAGGATTGCAGAAAACAGAGATGGGAAAATATTGCAATCACCCTCCGAACCGGGAGTTGGTATAGCTTGATAGATATAAGGGTATGAGAGGTAGATTTTTGATCGTCATAAATTATTGAAATTATTATAATAGACAAGCATGTACCAATAAACACAATTGTACACCTGGTAAAATCGTGCTCCATGACTGTGACAGTGAGACTGAATATTATTTTTTTCTCTCCTGTGATGTATTGATTGAAGCCAATTTTATCGGTCCATTATTCCAATTCATTTTTTTTAATGCAGCGCTATATCTATTTTCTTCATCCAGTGACCTGTCAACATCACGATTTGCATTTTATTGCCTTTTCTACTGACCATAAATAAAATTTAATGAGTAGGCCTACTTATTGAATTTCTTTGAAATTCTACTTTTTAGAAGGAAGGTCACTTTATTTCCACAACGAATCGATGAAATAATTATATCAATATGTCTCTCTCCTTCTCTCGCTTCGTTCCATCCAACTCCTAAATGTCTCTCTCTCCCTGGCGCTCTCTCTCTCTCTCTCTCTCTACACCATTCTCTTTCAATTTAATTCTCTCTGTCTGTCTCTATATCCCACCCTCCCCCTCTCTTTTTCTCTCTCTCTCTCTCTCTACACCATTCTCTTTCAATTTAATTCTCTCTGTCTGTCTCTATATCCCACCCCCCCCCCTCTCTCTCTCTCTATCTCTTTGTCGCTCTCAGGATTATGAAGCACCCGCTAGTCACATCAACAGCGAAGGGTTATTTGAGGATCCCGATTTCCCAGCCGAACCGGAATCAGTTTTCTCCGATGGTTCACGAAACGCAAGCAACATTGTGTGGAAGAGACCCTTTGTAAGTGTATTTATATCATGAAAATATTGCATGCTCCGCATTTAAATATGACAAAAAGATATGAACAGACATATTAAAAATCTCCCAAGTGACGTTTTTTATATTTTTTTATTGCACGCTTGTACATTCTTTAAGTGTCGAGTGATAGTTTTTTCCAGCCAATATGATACACTCTTACAAGTACCATAATATTACACTCTTAATTCTAATAAATTCATTATTTATATGCAATAAAATCTCCTTAATTTGATCAGGCCCAAACTCTAAATAATTATGTCGCCCTGTCAATGCCCGTAGTAGCCCTCACCACTATTTGGACAGCATGGCGTATCCACCATAAGGGGGGCACAACCGTATTTGGATGTAGTTTGGGTTCTAACCTTTTTCCTCTATGCACCTCGCTGATTTCATTTGAATTCGAGAATGGGGGGGGGGGGGGTTGAAGAATTTGTTGGCGGTTAGAGGGGCTTGAACAAAATATTTGTGGGCTCGAGCCCCCAAGCTCCCTCTTGAACCGCTATTGAGTTTAAAATCTTTATAAGACACGGCAATGTATTTTGTTTTTATTTTCAGGAACTTGTTGACAATCCGCGTCTAGTCGTTGATGGTTTCAGCAGGCAAGATGTTGTCCAAGGAAACCTCGGAGATTGCTGGTTTTTAGCCTCACTCTCAGCTATCGCCAAGATGCCTGCTCTCATTCAGAAGGTGCGTTTATTTCTACAATTCTCTTTCCCTATTCCTCTCTTGATATTGTTATAATACCTTTCTCATTGACAAAATGGGAGTTACAAGCAACAAATAAATTGTTAAGTTTTCCCCGGATACGTTCTGCATAATCACCCCTCAATCAATAACTATTCCCCCCCCCCCCTCCCTCGCCCTCACCTTCATCCTCTCTCTCTCTCTCTCTCTCTCTCCGTCTCTCTCTTTCTACTTCCCCCTTCTTTACATGCTTTGAAGCCGCTACCTCTTCTTTCAGCCTCCTCTCTATCTCCATTTAATTTCCCCTCCTTATGCCCTTACTTGTTGCACGACATTTAGAGTGGAGGGAGAGAGAAAGAAAGGGGGAAGAGGGGGGATATAATATGCGGCCATATTTAAAATAAAATAAAAAAAAATTAATTCCATATATTTTTCGTTATTATTTATCTGCAGATTATCCCAAGCGACCAGAGCTTTACAGACGGTTACAGCGGCATGTTTCGGTTTCGGTTCTGGCGGTTTGGCCGATGGATAACCGTAGTAATTGATGACCGTCTTCCAGTGAGCCATCAGGGCCGACGAGTCTTCGCCAGCTCCAGCGATCCCAATGAGTTCTGGCCGTCGCTTGTAGAGAAGGCATATGCCAAGTAAGTAGCTAAACATTATTACTATTATGCGACCAGGGACGTATAAAGAGACGGTGATGTTTGGGGTGTGTCGACCCTCCCCCACTCGAATTTTCTCTGCTGATTTGGGGGTTTGAGAGCTTGCCGGTAACTCGGGAACATGAAGATGTCTTCAGTTGGAATACATATAACATTTGGAAATGTGATTACCTTTTTATGGAAGATTTGAAAATAGGTGAAACATTTGTATTTTCGCATGGAAAATATTTGCACAATTTGTTTGCCCCTCCCCCCTATTGAAATCAAGTTAACCCATTTCTTTTTTATTGTAGAGGAGGCACGAAGGGAACTGATTGTTAAACACTGGATATGTGAAATCGAGGAACAACCGAAAAATTCGAATATATAGAATTTTAAAACTTTTGAATCTGCTATACTATGGCATATTGGGGATGCGAATTTACGAGATCTTAGATATACATACAGGAGCATAACGATTTAGTATATATTTTAAACCATAATTTCCTTTCTCCATCTATCTTGCATTTGCGCCCCTGTCGCCCGCCCTCTAGGCGCGGCCAGGGGCATGTGCCCCCACTAAAATACGCTACTGGTTTGAATTGCTTTCTCTTAACTTCCCATGCCTACGTTGGATGCACTTTCTGATGTCCGATATAATTTACCTTATTTTTCGTTGGAAATTTTGTTTTAATTTAATATGCTCCTGTATTTTGTGAAAATAATGATATCGCTAATTAATGTTGTCAAGGGTACCGTACATTAATACAATTTGCCTTACGTTTCGTTGAGGTTTTGGTTTCTATTTGAAAATTGAATCTTTTTGCTTCGTTTGTTCATTGATAATAATATCAGGATTCGATTCCAATCAATCATTTATGTTTCTGTTTCTAGATTACATGGTAGTTACAGTGGATTATCAGGCGGTATGGCGGCAGACGCGTTCGTTGACCTGACCGGTGGTCTAGCAGAGGTCTATGACCTCACATCGGAAAACCCTGATGATGTTTATGGTATCCTCTATAGGGGTACACGATCAGGAGCCTTCATGTGCTGCTCAAGAAAGGTAAATGAATCAATCCGTTCTATATTTTTTTTTATCTCAAGGGCAATTTCATTATTCCATTGTCATGATGGTATCCCATAAAAATCATGTCTGGATTATGTAACAAGCCTACAACATTGTATTGTTCGCACGTTTCAAAGGGTAATGGACGAGGATACTATAAGTACCTTGAGTTAATTTTTGGAAAGCTATCGTGTTTCAAGTTTTTTTTTTTTTAATCAAAAACTTAAGTTTTTAGCGGGGATGGGGGGGGGGGGTTGACGACTGTCATAATGTAGATACCATGGTTCCGAAAATAAATTTTGGCTTTTCCTATTTGGAGATTTAAGACGCGACCTACCGAAGAAATAATTATAACTCGAGTCTTGGATAGAATGTAAGATTTTTTATCTAAGTATTTATGGTCAGGGGGAGATGGGCCCCCTCCCCTGGCGCTCAAGGGGGGGGGGGGGGGGATTCCATTTTTTTTTTCAAATTTGAGGGCCAAAAAAAAATAGTGCTCACTACCCTTGTGCTATCCTTATCCGTTTCCCTAGGCGTTTCATCGTGAAACGAAACACAAGTAAACGGAAGTAATGATAACAAGGTGAAAAAAAACCAGGAATAGAACATTAGGCATAGAATAGACATGACGATTTTAGAAATGAAATGGATCTACATAAATAAAGCCCTAAGGCCTTGTACACGCATAGTTCCCAATCCTGAGTAATGAGGCGAGAAGTTCAAGGTTCCAGAGACGAGAAGAGCCAGAGAGATGTAGCAAACTAAAAAGGAGAGACGAGAGAACGAGATTTGAATACAAAGACGAGGCGGGAGAGACAGAGGGGACGAGAGCAAAGGAAGAGAGAGAGAGAGAGAGAAAAAAAGAGAAAAAGGAGCTGAATGAAAGCGAGCTAGAGAATCGCACTCTTGTCAACCAATAATCATTTGCAATTATCGCATTTCAAACCGCTCTCAAACACTTCGTATCCCTCACGCAACTCACGACTCTTCGCTGAACGTTCCTCAATAAAAATATTCTGAACTAATTCTCACCGACAGCAATCATTCAATCATTTACACGTCTGCTCATGCTTCGTATAAACGACCACCGATTTACTATTCAGTAAACCCCAAAATACATCATGCACATGAAGATATCATCACGTTCGCATTCGCACCACACTAAACTAACTAATGACCATCGAATGAATAAAATTGGCAAATTGTAGTTGCATTTGATGCTATTATTTAATACATATGTATCATTGGACAGGCACGACCAAAGTATTGATATCAGTGTAAAAAAATGGCAATTATGAAATTCCTGTACGGGCGCATGGCATTTGATGTCAGATCAGATCTGCGAAAAAAAGACAAAAAGATAAATTTATATAAAATTGTATTTCAATTGGGTTTTGATGTCATGAATTACCAGGGGATGATCCAGAATTGCGTGTGGGCACAATTTTGAGTAAAAACGAATATTTTCGTTCGTAAATTTGAAAGGGAGCAAGACGTTCATTTCAAATTGAGGGGGGTGGTAACAAAGAAGAATTCCCAAGATATTGTATTTATATTAAAATGCAAGTCTTGTCTTTAATAAATAGAATAAAGAGAATTATACCTATTGAGCGCCAGATAATCAACGTCGATTACCAGTCTTTGATTTCGACTTCCCTGCCGACGCCTCCTCCCTGTGGAGAAGAAATAAAGTTACCATTAGAGCCAGACAGAGAACTCATACGGGGATGCAAAAATAGCTTTAAATTCCAATAATAAATACTATATAAAATGAGAACTACTTGCATGTACAATTCTCTTAGAGGCTATTAAGTTATACTCACGGTGAGGCTGAATCTGTCAAGTGAGAAGATAAAGGAAAAGAATAAGTGGAACATTAATTATGCAATGAATAAAATCTGTATGTACATGCATTATTAATGCAGTTGTAATCCGATAATCTACACGATATTGGTAATAAGTAACTCACCCTTTGCCAACTCCACCACCCTATTGAGGAAATGGAGAAAGATATGGGAGGAAAAAAACATGATTAATAGTTATAATTAAGACCCAAATCACGTGCAGAGAGATCAGGAAAGTAAAATATATTTCAAATTTATTATAAAAACAAATATAAATGTATTGCTCAAAATCTTTGGCAAGTCAATATTACAAAACAATGAAAACCATACTTACGCCCAAAGCGAAACTGTGGAAGAATTAGGAGAAAAAATGAAATTCGTTTAGTAATTGTGCGTCTTTTTTATACAAAAGGGTAAATTAGTAATTTAAATTTTAATAATTGAAATAATTAGATCATCACTCACCCTTTGCCAACTCCACCGCCCTGTTAAAATATTAAGGGAAAGTAGCAAATTTGAAATGGTTATTATCAAGTGCGGAAAGATGGGTACAGTCATATTTTTGGCTAAATAAGGACAGATGGGGAAGGGAGTACACATAATTTCGTTTATCTTGCCCTTCGTATATAATTATATATGCACATGCTAATACCATGCATTATCTAGTCGTATTGTTTTGTAACCGAAATGAGCAAAAAGAAAAATACACTGAAAGGAATAGCCATACTTACGTTCAAGTCAAAGCTGTATGAGAGAGATAGAGAAAATTGAATTGAAGTTATAGAAAGCCGTTTTTTTCTTTATTATATTTTTTTATGAAAAAGTGTAATACGCAGGTACAAGTAAACTAATTACTGCTGGCTATGAATGTACTATTTAATGTTTCAAGACTTACCCTTTGCCAACTCCACCGCCCTGACATGGAGAAAATGGAATACGGATTAGCATTACAAGGAAATGTAATTTCAGCACATGTAGGTCAACAATTTATATCCTACTACATTTGTTTGTTCGCTACAGCCCCCGTAAAGAAGTTAAATCTAAAAAAGCAATTATTTTAGGAATAATATAATGTATGTATGTTTCTTTGTAAAATGGTCATTTGCTTTTTATATGCACGACCATGACGAAGAACAGCCATTGGCTGAAGTATAAACAAACAAACCATACTTACGTTCAAGTCAAAGCTGTCACGGTATAAAAAAAGAGTAAAAGTGAAATTTCAAATAATTATTGAATACAAAGTTAGATTTTATTCCTAGCAACGAATACAGACATAATAAACACTATATAATCATTAATTATTTATATTACGTACATGATATTTAATTTAACACTCACCCTTTGCCAACTCCACCGCCCTGTTTTCAAAATTCAAAGAAAAAACATGGAAAAGTTTATGACTATGTAATAAGTAGAGGGTGCAATTTTGTGGCTCTGTATAAATGTGGAAAAGATACAAGTTTGTTTTAAGTAATAAATACAGTCCTCCTCCCCCTTGATAGTTATTTTAAAAGTATTAATACTTACGTTCAAGTTGAATCTGAGGATGAATTGTGGATAAGAAAAAATTAAGGTTTCGTTACTTCCATATAACAAGCGATACAATGAGATGTAATGAGATAAGATGTTAGAATTAGACTAACGTAATTGAAAATGTTTTAATAAAATTAATACCTACCCTTTGTTAACTCCACCGCCCTGACAAGGAGAAAACGGAAAATGAATTAGCATGATAAAGGAAGTGTAATTTCAGCACATGTTAGTCGAAATATTATACCATAGTTTATTACATTTTGTTTGTAAGCTACAGCTCCCGTAAAGAAATTCAATTTGAAGCAACAAGAAATACCATACTTACGTTCAAGTCAAAGCTGTATAATAAAGAGAAAGTAAAATATAATTATTGAATACAAAGTTGGATAAGACTTGCAACGAACATACAAAACCCCTTTGAATATTCTAATATAAACATTAAAAATTTGTTTAATATTACGTACAGGATAATTTAATTTAACACTCACCCTTTGCCAACTCCACCGCCCTGTTATTAAAAATTAAAAGGAAAAGAAAACATAAACAAGTTATGACTATAAAAACACATGTAATACTGTGCAAATTTTGTGGCTCTTTACACATGTGAAAAGATACAATTTTGTTTAAAGTAACTAATGCAATCCTCTTCCCCTTGTTGCTCTTTAAAAGAAACGAGTACTTACGTTCAAGTCGAATCTGCGAGGATAAATTGTGGAAAAGAAAAAATATTACTTTCAAGTTCAATATAACAAGTGATACAATGAGATGTAAAGCAGAATTAACGGTGTGTTAGAAGACCAAAATTGAGAAATGTTTTAATACTAACCCTTTGCCAACTCCACCGCCCTGACAAGGAGAAAATAGAAAATGGTTTAGCAAAATAAAGTGTAATTTCAGCACATGTAGATCGACAAATTATATCATAGTTTACTCCATTTTGTTTGTAAGCTACAGCTCCCGTGAAGAAATGAATTTGAAGCTTTTAAGGAATAACCATACTTACGTTCAAGTCAAAGCTGTATAAGAAAGAGAAATTTCAAATAATTATTGAATTTAAGTTAAAGATTTGCAACGAATACAGACCTACTGAACCCTTTGAACATTATAATATAAACATTACAAATTTGTTTAATATTACGTACAGGATAATTTAATTTAACACTCACCCTTTGCCAACTCCACCGCCCTGTTTCCAAAATTCAAAGAAAATATATGTGTATAAAATATGGAAAAGTTTATGACTAAAACATTATGTAACACGTTGCAAAGTGGAAAGGAGTTTCGTTTTAATTATTCAATCGTCCTCCCCTTGATGCTATTTAAAAGAAAGTACTTACGTTCAAGTTGAATCTGTTAGGATAATTGTGGATTTAAAAAAAAAAGGTTTCATTACTTCCAATTTCAATATAACAAGTGATACAATGAGATAAAGCAGGATTCAAGTGTGTTAAAAGACGAAAGTAATTGAATTACTCACCCTTTACCAACTCCACCACCCTTGAAATGAAAGGTGTACAAATAAAATAAATTAGCGAGAATAGCATATTTTGACATTCAAGCCCGACCTACCAAATATTTATTTTATACCGGACATCTATATAGAAAACTACCCCAGATGACTACCTATACCTAGGAAAACAACCCCGGACAATTGTCCACAAACGACAACTAAAACCTACACGAATACTTCCGACGGAAAAGATTACTGCTAATTTATAAGTCATAGTTATTCCATTTCCCCCCTTCTAATCGAGGTGAAAATGAGTAAAGCACTATTGCTTCAAATTATAATCTATCGGAGAAATATATCCCCCAGACTTCTGCCACCGAGCCAAAACTAACCTAAGACAAATCACCCCGGATATTACCCATCTAGTATAAATCTGTCCTAAGAACTACTGCAGAGATATATAATGTAATTGCTATATTTTATTTTGTGTTTAATAATTATACTTACACCAAGTGCGAAGCTGAACGAGGAGGGAAAGAGATAAAAGATTTGGTTTAAGAGTATAGCTCTGGTAGCGAAAATGAACTAATAAAACTTGTCCGACATCTTGTGCCATTTTTACTATCGAAATATTCAGATATGTAGATTATAATTATAATTTTCAAATCGAACTTTTAAAGAATAGAATGCTTGCCCTACATGACAGTTTACTAAAATTGATAAACAAAAATCCTTACCCTTTGTCTACTCCAGCGCCCTAAAAGATAAATTTAAGAATTATGCAAAGTTTACAATGTCTACCGGAACCTTTTTTTTTTAATGAAGACAAATTTTCAACATAAGGTACACGAATTAGAAAAATATTACATGTTTCGACAGCGTGAATGCTCCGTAAAATGTCATAAGGAGTTAAGAAATCCTATGTCTTACTATGTAGGGGAGAATGCAGCAATATTTACCGACCAACATCGGATCAGAGTTAATGGATATCTGCATTTTCAGTAATAAATCCAAACCTGGCAATAACCTTTACCATATCCTCTCATATCTATTAATTTCAGTTTTAATATGAAAATTGCTTTGATTGGTGGTGGTGGTGGTGGTGGTGAATTTATTTTAGTGAATACGATACTTACAGTAGGCATGGTGCTGTTGACAAAACGGGGGAAGGCAAAATATTGTTTCATTGAAATTCAAAGCTACTACATGAGATCAACAAATAAGATTGAAATTTGAATTAGATATTTTAAGGCGTTTACTTAGGCAGGCTTAATGAATTTTTATCTGGATACAAATTTAAAAACGAAATGTATTCAAAGGTTGATAAGCGCAGAAGTGATGGGGGGCGGGGGTAATGTTCCGATAGAGGGCGTACATGAGACGTTTTTGTGGGGGCATAAATGTTGGTCGCTAGGCCTTCAGAAGGCACATTCCAATTTAAAACTCGACTGCAACCGGGAATAAGATTTAAAGGCATTATATTTTTAATACGAAAAAGCAGTTGTGACCTACCCTTTCAAGATCATTGACAGGGGTTTGTCCATGTAACTCCTGAATAAGTAAATTGATTATGTTTGTCTATTATATTAATCCACTCAAAAGATGAATATATTTAGCATATTTTAATATATCGCTGCATAACATTTAAGTTTAGGTATTATTTTTTCTTCTCGGAAATCATTTGATGTAACCCGATTTAATTTTGTCGAATCTCTATTTATTGCTTGAGATAGGTGATCTTCGATTATCAACTGACAAAATAATTTAAAATAGTTACTCCCGACTCTTATATTCAAACTTGTCACTGCATCAACAAAATGGAACATCCTTTACATAACATATTTGTTCTGCCACTTTCAAAGAAAGATCCCTGAAACAATCAATGATTTTATGTAGTCTTAATTTTCTATTCAAATTGTGTTTTTGTAAGTTTTTTATAGCGCTTTCCATGTTACATTTTAATCTTTTTTTTCATGCTTAGATTTGCATATAATTTAATTTGGTTTAGTTATCAAAAGGCACGATACGTATTTGGAATGAAACATAAGAACTTACTCGTCCATAGGATGAGAGGGCGCTGTTTGATCTTGACAGACGACTGATTTAAGTGATGAGATTGTCGATGCGTAGTCAGTCAAGTAATTGCTCAACATTTTAGAGACAGAGGCCAGGGTATCTAGCGTAGGAGAAATACGATCAGAATATTAAAGGCGAAGCACAAAAAGATTATATACTTTATCAGTTATAAAGGGCGGTTTGAAGGAGCCCCCCCCCCCCCCCCAAAAAAAAAAAAAAAAAAAAAAAAATTAAAACAAATAAACCAAAAAAAAAATCAACCCCAAAATAGTACCTCAAAACATGATAAGTATGATGAAAGTATAATAAATATTCCAGGAATCGATTGAAATGCAAAGTATTCCTATTTTGTAATATATTTATATGGAGGTATCGGGTCATTTTCAAGTAATCTGATATGAAACGGTTTTCACTTTCCTATATCTATTGCGTAAAAATATAATCTCCAATGAATTCGCATCTAAGATGCGAATTTTAGAAAATATTGTATTTTGGGAGATTCGAATCATGTTTACTATTATATTGTAATAAAGGACACTCTTCCCATTTTGCATCGATTAAAAATAAAAACACCAATACGATCAATTGGGCAAAAAGAATTTCCGTTTCGGTTTAATAAAATTTGGAGTGGACTATTAGGCTATTATTATTATTATTATTATTATTATTATTATGAAGAATTCCTTACCGTGGTCGATCTTCTTGTACATGATGAGCTGCGAGACGAATTTCAGTCCTTCTGCAAGTTCCTTGGCGTTGGCGATATGGTCCTGGACCTGGATGTAATGATCAGAGATGTACTGCAAGACCACAGGGTACTTGGGAGAATACTTGGGCTTGCATGACAAGATGCTCTTCACGTCGACTGAAAGACACGATTAATTTAGTTGTTAGAAACCCAGATTTTTTAAATTTAAACTTTCGTGGTTTATCCAATTCAAGTGGACTCAATTTTGATCCGTTATTCTTTTATATTGTTGTATGTTGGAAGCTTGGCGAATAAAAATCAATCAATAACTGGAACATCCACGATTCATTTATTTTGGAGCACGCAGATTAAGTTCTACAAAATTGAAGAAAGCGTTGTAACTTTCAAGTTCTGATTGTTTGCTTGTTTTTATTTCAAAATTTAAAAAATGTCTCAAGACTGATAATTAAAAAAACTCCGGACTAAAGGTTTCTGGTGGAAGCACTTAATATTTAGTGGAAGATTGATTTCAATATTTTAAATTGATAGAAGCATACAGAGTTTTCTAACTAGGAATTCTACATCACGGCCGAAAGTAAATTACAATATCAAATTGTCACATGGACATACAGGTGGCGTAATGTTACTGATGCTTGTACAAGACCAGCCTTCTGTTTTATGATATTAAAGAGAAGCGAAATACTGACTTTTGGGTATGGAAAGTTCCGGGATAGAGTAGTCTTCCTGAGAAGCAATGTTGACGAGGTTGTTCCACTGTAAAAAGTTAATAATTGAGCATTTAAAAACACATTTCAATTCCAACAATTTAAGCAAGTGTCAATACCAAAATGAAAAAAATAATCCAAAGTATTTATCTGAAATCCGTTGCAGAGATAGCCACTCTATACCACTACATTTTCATCAAGAGCAAGACGATACACATTGCAAGAAACTGCTCTACTTCAGAAACGTACTTTACTGAAAAAACCTTGGAGAGCAATAGTGACAATTGGTAGGCCTACATGTATATTTTTAAATCTGGATCAAAATAACAAATTTGTACCAAGGAAAAATAAGCGTGAACGTCTTATATTTCCAGAGGTCAGATTCAAATACCATTTCGGTTGCATACCACATATATGAAAATTGTGAAAAATTGGACGATGTAGTGTTGTACGAGATGTAACAAGGTAAGTCAAGATGAAAAGCTTTCCCAGGTAAAATAGTCTTGCTTTGGCATTTCACAACTTTCAGACAATTCGAGAAAAATGATGAGACTAGGCAGATTCGGTCACCGTTTTTAAGAGAAAATAAAAGGAGCTTACCGCAGATTCCAAAGACGAGAGCGAGATGTGTAGAGGGGAAAGTGAGTCGACGATAGCCATGTGAGCAATGCCCTCTAGATCCTTGCTGGAATCAGCAAGGGTGTACTTCTGGTCCTGACCGCTGATGACGGGCTTGCCTGAAGCTACGGCCACGAGGACCACGAGGCATACGATGAACTTCATCTTGAACGACGTGGGTCAGTCGGTTGTTCTATTCGACGAGAAAGCTCGGTAGATATCTAGCGTAAGATCGAGTAGCAGCTTCGATTGAACGCAGGCAGAGAAGTGAAGGAGGCGCCGTTTGGGTGCTGGTTTTATACGGCCCTCCAGCGGCTCTGGACGGTGACCCTCGAACGATTCCGGTCCTCGGTGCGAAATTCCCGAATAGGGACAAGAAATGTAACTTATTGTAATGCCTTACGCCATTCATGAAGGTAATTTGCATCTGACATTCCATCATTTACAATTCGTCGCTGGTAATAAGCCAGTTTCGTAATGTAACCAAATTTAATGCATACGTCTTTGTGAAGTGCCTCAATACAAATTATTTCATTCACCTGATAAGAATAATAGTATTTCAATAGTCAGAATGCAACTGCATATATTAAGTTGTTGCCAGGTTGGACAAACATTATGGCTTGACCTACCTAGCAACACTTAATATATGCAGTTGCATTCTGACTATTGAAATACTATTATTCTTATCAGGTGAATGAAATAATTTGTATTGAGGCACTTCACAAAGACGTATGCATTAAATTTGGTTACATTACGAAACTGGCTTATTCGAGGAAGGCTTTTCAAGAAATGATTGGAACAGGTGAATGAAACACGAGGGACTACTTGAAAACAAGTTTGTGCGAAAGTTTGTCGACCTGGCAATTTGCATTTGACCACTTATGTTCCACCCAGTGGCGTACGCACGATTTTTTTCAAGGGGGGGGGGGGTTAAAATCAAAAGGGGGGGTTTTTCCAAAAAAAACATACATCAAACATAAAAAAAAAACTCGAGGGTGGGGGGGGGGGGGGGGTTAACCCCAAAACCACCCCTGCGTACGCGCATGGTTCATTGATTTTAAAACTATATTTTCATTATTGCAAAGTTGAAACTTTGATTCGACAAGGTTATTAAAATTCAATGCTTGGAAACATTCGAAGTAATGATTATGATAAATTACAAAACGCTTAAATACAGCCCCGGCATAGCACCTGAAGAGCTCTCCGAACGCCGCTGAGATGTTTAAGATCACAGTATGGACATGACTTGCACAAGCAGACGATGTCCCATGACATCTCACACATTTTCAGTGCCTGTGTTTTCATCTTCTCTCGAGTTCTTTCTCTTACTTCACTACCGTCAGGCTAAATGTATAATCTATTGCCCCACTCTAAACCCCGCGCATGGTTTTATTTTGATGAAAAATGCAGCGATACAAAAATAAAGGAATCTGTCGCTTGTAAACAAAATAAGACGCCATTGTATATTCAGCTGCACACACCGGGGTATGTTCGGCGTTTCAAGAGGGAACAAATGCCGACCTTAATATCATTCCGGGGGTTTTTCAATTTGAAAGCCTGGTTTCTTTGATTGTTAATTAACCCCTATCCTGTGTATTTACAAGCAAAAGATTTTAGTTATCAGAGTCCGGTCATATCCCATTTCGAATGGTTTGACATGCCATTACATTTATATACACTAAACTCATTATAATTTGAGAAATAATAGCTTCGCAATTATGTTCATTCTCTTTGGGATGTCGTCTGCTTGGGCAGTGTTGGTCCATATAGTGACGTCATTAAAACATCAATATTTTTCCGGCGAATCTCTCGTATATATCCCAGCTGCTATGGAGGTGGTTGAATTTTTATTTTTATAAATCACCCGATATGTGGTTGACCTCAAACTTGTACGATGGCCATCTGTTAGCTTACCAGTTTCTAGTGATACATTAGTTGAAATATTTGTGATCTTCTTTGAATTTCACCTTTAACACAGTCATAAGAGATCAGAGGGAACGCCCGTTCAGTATTCGAACAATGACCAATTCACTGCTCCTCGTCCTCACTCGCCGGCGATGAACTATTACATCCACCTGCTATGTGCCATTGATTTGGATAATCAGAATGCAGGTTGCTTACATTATCCGTTGCTATGCCGAGGAAACCTCGGGCAATAACCTGGTCGTCAAAAGAAGTGGAGGGCATGAATTCTGAATGCATATGTGAAACATTTTTCATGTTGATGTTTCAGCTTTCGGATATAAAGGAAGAGAAATCTAAGGCAACGCGAAAAGAAAGCGAGGAGGCCCTATTCCACACAACATCCCCAATGTCCTTCTTTTCGTGCATTCCATCATCCTATTCATTCGTACATATATTGATTGCAAATTGATTTCAAAATTGATAATGAAATGACATATTAGAAAGACAACGAACATTCTAATTATTGCAATAAGACGCTAATAAAACATATACACCAAACTTCGAGTTTTTCTCGTCGTCGGGATTCCTAGTCGATGGCATTCTTTTTTTTGCTTCATCATCATCCTCTCAATTTTTAAATTATATATATATATTTGTATACTCTTACATCATACATTCTCTTGATAGATATTGATATACTTAAGTGAAAATTTTATAATATAAATCAATAAAAGTTAGAATTTAACAAGTCTTGTTGTATAAAGGTGGTGTATACAAGCTCTTCAATTTCCATAAGTGTTCATCCACTCCTTTTCTTTTCCTTGTTGTCGGGACACACCATCTGAGGAGGCGGGGTCAAAAAACATATGTTTACTGCACATGTAGATTGAAAACGTATGGAAAACCATGAGAACAACAAAGAATGCTACGTGCTGAATGTTTCAAAGTAAATATATACTGAATAGACCTGTTTACAAAAAAAGGTATGCGAAGCAACGGACGCCTCTTCCCAAAACCTCTTGCGAACTATTGCATTCCCTTGTTAGAAAATTATTATAATTCACTTGTTAGATTACAAGTTTACTGGCAATCTTAAGGTCATCGCTAGTTAATATTGAAATTCCGGGGCACAATCTTCGTTCGAACATACTTTCATATCTTTCCGTATTTTTTATGTATTTAAATTTTCTTCCTTCTCTCACGGTTCTGGATAAAAAGCACTCACATCTTTAAAAGACTGTGAGGCTCATGGTGCAGGGCATTCCTGCCGTGGAACTTGTTTCATTCTACTAAAACATTAAATTTGCTACTCTTCACCCAGGCGAAGTAAAACATATAAATTACCAAGTCTCTTAAAGCCCCACTGTACTACTTGTAGCTACTTGCTCCCTCCATATATATATATAAAAAATAATGCCTAATCGGTGGCCAATGGTCCCCCATGATCCTCTTTTTCTTATGTTAATTGAGAGCTGAGTTGATGAGATGACCACCTGTCAGTGACCACCCTGGGTGGTCTAATCCCTCCTCACCAAACTAGTACAGACGGCCTTTAAATAGTAAAGATCCACTTCATAAGCCCATTTTAATATCATATTTGGTTTTCCTCTTACTGTTTCATGAATTCGTTTCATAAACTACATGACAAAGTATCAAATTAATAAGATAAATATTCACCACAACAACACGATTGTCGATAGGTTCGGTTTTATAAGTATATTTTGTCGGGGGGTCTTGCATTCATTCCATAAAAAAATTGTGCTTGACAAAGAAATCTAATTAAAAGATATGCATTTTTATTTAACTCAGCATAATTGTCAATATTATGTTGTTTTTACAGGGTAACTGGCGAGCTAATGAAACGAACAACCTTGGTATAGTTACGGGGCATTCATACGCCCTTAATCGGGTCCAGACAGGGGTCCTAAAGGATGGATCCAAGATCCGCTTAGTCAAGGTCAGAAACCCCTGGGCCAACTCGACCGAGTGGAAGGGAAAATGGAGCGATAGGTAAGAAGACTATACTATAGTATGTGAATTTTAATCATTTTTATCGTACATACCAATTCTTAAAGGCTTCGTATATTAAGACTCGATGTGGATCGGGGGGGGGGGGGAGAGGCAGAGACTCGTGGAAGAGAACGTGATAGATAAGAAATCTATGTCAATTATTAAGTATCTCTTCTCTGTTTAGACTTGGATGCTAAAGTATGGGAGGGGGCTGCAGAGAAGTGTTTGATAAGCATTCAAGGTTGTCAGAGTAATACCTTTCCCTACAAAATGTCATTTGTCTTTATGCATTTGTTGCATTCTTGTATTTATTTGTCGCCAAGTCAGACATGCCTTGAAACGTTGGGGATGTATATAAAGTAATAAGTCAGCCTATTAGTAAATCATATTGCCCCCTCTCCGAAGTGAGTATTTACAAATAACTTGCTGTCATTCCGAGGCAGTTATTATATACGTTATGAATGCTCTCAAAAAAATCAGACCTTTCTTTTTCTTTTTTTATCCCGTTTCCATCAAAATAGTTCCAAACTTTGGAATAATCTCAAGAACAAAGCCGAGTTTGAAGAAGACGAAGAACGGTCTTTGAGTGATGGTGAATTCTGGTAAGTGTCATGATGGTAATGATATCACATTGTTACTTTACCAAAAAGGTGGAAGCAAAGACTCATGAGAATTGATTGGTTTATTGTTGTCTACATGGCAAAATGGAATAATTAGAACTGATTTCTTTTTCTGTTTTTGTTCCACGATCAAAAATGGTATTTCAACTCTTAGAGTATATTTTAGCTTAGTCAAGACTATTTTATTTTATTCTAATATCCAATATTACGTTGAATAATCGAATTTCTAAATGACACCTCGGATGCGACGGGCAATACAGTCTCAATAGAGCCCAAATACAAGACCAATTGAAATATCAAATATTTCGATGTTTGTTCGTTTTATTTTAAGTATACATTCTCAGCATACAATAAGAAGACCTGGTCTAAATTTCGTTATTCCAAAAAAAAAATCTATTTTACATTTTAGGATGTCATACAAGGATTTCTTGGCGGAGTTCACCAAGGTTGTCATGTCGACCGTGGGACCCGACTTCGATGGAGATGGGATAGCAGATGTCGTGAACGATACAGGTATAAACACGATCGCTATACTCCTTTCGAAGAATCAATTCAAGGGCACTTTCAATACGCTTTTGTGTATACTAATATAAATCATAATTATTCGGATTACGTAATACGTCAGTGTTTTGTTCACACGTTGATAAAGGTGATTGTAAGGCTAATGAAATTGGCTCCAGTTAATTGTGTTTTGGTAGTATGTATGATCGTGCTGTATATTATAAAGGGTGTCGATTAGAGAAGATTAATGTTATAAGAATGGATGAGACTAATGAGGCGTTGAAAGAAAGTTGAGTTGCAATCGATTGCAAATATCAGTTACAAATTTGCAATTAATCGCAAGACTCGCGCTTGATTTTGGGGATTTGCGTTTGATCTTGCAACGCCCCATTAGACAAGTTTTTAAGCGGCACTATTTTTTAATTTTTATCTTTTTCATTCTATTTTTCTTTGTTAGTTTCTTTCTCAGTTTCGGTTACGTAATACTTCATTGTTTAGATCGTACGTTGAAAAAGGTGATTGTAAGGCTATAAATGAAATTGGCTCAAATTAATTGTTTTTCGGTAGCCTTTGTGATCGTGCTGTATATTTTATGCAGGGCGCCGATTAGGAAGATTAAATTTAAAGGCACTTTATGGGACTAAAAAAAAATTTTAAGCGGCACTATTTTTTTATTTTATTTTCATTTTATTTTTCGTTATTGATATTATTTTTAAAGAAACTTGGTAACGTAACATTGTTCAGATGAGAGATAGTGGTGCTAAGTCAGTGACTTCAATGCTAGATGTACAGTTAAAGATAATCTGACAATTTGAGTGAAAACGGACCATTATTAATGATACAAAATGGGAAAAAACTTATCTGATCGATTCCTTACTTCTCCCAACTATACTATTACAATTTAATTACATTTTAGGTGAATGTAAATCGTCACAAAGCAATAAACTGGCTGTACATACCATTCCAGACATTTAAGTGTTGACAGATTTTTAATAGCCTGTTTTATGTCTTTTTTTCATGGAAAAACGGTTGGGAAAATTCAAAAATGGTTGGGAGAATTGACTATTAATCACTGTTAGAGGGTGTTGCACAGTGACGCCTTCAAAGAAAATCATAAATATTTCGGGGTTGTTTGCATGTCAGAGTGTTAGTGCGGCAGAAGGAATAAAATAAGTTACATTTTATACAAAAATTAAGCCATTTTTTCATCAACCTTCAACAATGTTTCTGAGTCACTTTAAGTGAAGCATTTTCCACAGCATGAATATAGAAACAAGGGGGTATGCCCCCATAGCGGCAGTAAATCGGACACTTTATACAAACTCGAAAACCAGTTGTGAAGCGGCAATTTCTTCCAGCATTTTTTTCTTATATTTTAATTGGCTTAGTCTTCTACATCACAGGGCTTATTATGAATGTCTCATGCAGAGTGGGGTTCATTCCGTACACATTTCGGCTTTATCTCAAAGGCAAGCGAAATTTTGCAGATTTTATTTCCCCGGGAATCACCTTTATTCCTGCGAATATGTGTATCAAATGGGAGAGAAGCCGCGGGACTTTGTGCCTATAAATTCCTCTTCTTTTTTTTTCGTTTCTATATTCTTAATGGGGGCGGCCGTCTTCCTACCGGCTTCACTAACGGGTTCAATATGAGAATATTATACACAATCAAGAGCTCATAGTAAAAGTCATTTAACTATCTTTCCTTATTTCACCAGCTCGTGGCTTTCACCTAGTGACTCGGACTGGGCAATGGAGAACAGGTATCAATGCCGGAGGTTCCCCAAACTATCTGGACGAAGGATACTGCTCAAACCCTCAGATCATCATTTCACTCTTAGAACCAGGTTAGTTCAGCTCCTACTGAAATTTTGATTTTAATAGAAAGTATCTCGTTAGTCGTTAGTTCATTTCAGGAAAAAATTTTGTGTGCATAATTATGTGTTAATGGATGTGTGCGTGAATGTCTGGGTGTGGTGTGTGCGCTTTGGGTTTGTGTGTGTGTGCGTGTGTGTGTGTATGTGTGTGTGCGTGCGCGTGTGTGGGTGTGTGTGTGTGCGCGCGCGTGTATGCGTGTATGCGTTCGTGTGTGGTGTGTGATAGTTGTGTGTTACGTAAAAATTCGATTTGTGAACAATGAAACTAATTTCTTGAATAATATTTAATTTTCTTCAGATGACTGGCATCCCGACAAAGGATCACCGATAGCAAACAGAGGAAAGTGCGTTCTCATTGTCACTTTACTTCAGGAGTACCGAAGAATTCGAAACAGAAAACGAGCCAAGAAACAGTCGATAGGCTTCCGTATATACAAGGTAAGATCGTCGATCAGAGTCTTGCGCTTTGTCACTCTCATAGACCAAAGGCCTATAAGGCATTGGGGAGGGGGGGGGGGGGGGGGGTCCCTTAACGATTTGTATAATTTCTAATATTTGAGCAACTATCATCCCATCATATTATGATTCAACAAATATAAGAGTATTTGGCACTTGCTGTCCGAATTTTGTAATAATTTAAATGCGTAATCGGAATATTCTCATTTTCTTCTTGTTCTTATTCTTCTTGCCCTCTTCATGAATTTTCTCAGACTGATAACATCGACCGTCCATTGACCCGTGATGACGTCATGTACATGCATTCTATCGGAGGATCGGGAGATTACATCAATTATCGGGAGGTCGTGTGCCGTCTCGTTCTCGAGCCCGGTCACTACTGCGTCATACCGTCCACCTTCAAACCCGACATCACGCTCCGTTTCATGATGAGGATCTTCACAGAGAAACCCATCCTCTGTACTGTCTTTCAGAACAATCCCAGATGATGATGATGATGATGATGATGATGATGATGATTGAACTTTAAAGTTCTTTTTTTTTTACATTTACATAAAAAACATTCAGATTCTTGTAAACTAAAGAGTATGACAAAAATAATTCAGTTGATGAAGGCGTTACCTACCATGAAACCAGAGCTTGCCTTGAATTCCCCGCGGCGTACATCGTGAAACTCATGAATTAGCAAGTGCTTTAGATTCGCCAAAGTTTCATGTTTCTGGTTTACTTTTACAGTATGAGCGGCACAGTAATAACTATAATAACTTTAAATTCATACAGATGATATATTTGATCAGCACACGCCCAAAATCCTAGACATAAAGTCGTTCATAATTATGTGGCTTATTATTAAGCAAGATAATTATATGACTGAGTGATATATAAATATTTATATTACCGGTACATTCCTAAAAAGAAAACAATTCTAATCTACTGTGCCCAAGTTTGGAGTGCCCCCAAGATACAACAGAGGTGGGGAGAGAGACACACAGAGAGAGAGAGAGAGAGAGAGAGAAGAAGAAGAAGAAATGGGTCAAAACAAGGCAATTATATAGAAATATATAACATACCAAATTCGTAAATGAAACAATTTGTAGCCTAAGGAAAATCAATAAATGCAATATATTTTGTTATACCGTTTCAAACCAAACGTTATAATTTGTTTGCTGTTTTAATTGTTGATGTCGATTGGTATTATCCTTTTGACGCCAATAAAACTACTGGGTCTCTCTGGCGCCTGACATCAATCAGCGTACCGTAAGCATTGTAAGTAGGTATACTCCACGACCCCATTTCACAAAACTTGTCATCAATGAAAAATGGCAGTTTTTGTTATAAGCTAGTGAAATCCTTGCTTCTGATTGGTTATCAGCAGATTTGTCATTGTAAAAAGGGTTCGTGAAACAGGTCCAGAGTCTTGTGCTCCAACCCGATTTGAGTTAGACTTTGTTTTGTTGTCATTGGTAATTTGTTTGACATCAGTCGTGGTCTAGTGGATACGTCACCGGATTGTGGATCACATGGTTCGCGGTTAGAGTCCCGCCGCGGCATTAATGTCCTTTGTCAAGACATTAATCTACATTTGCCACTCTCCACCCATGTAAAGTAAAGGTACCCTCGAGAAAGAAATTCCTTGAATATTTAGCTCTTTATTAAGGTTGCTCAGCTACAGCTGGGGTAATACTATGGTATATTGTATTAAGCGCAGTAGAGTATTTTATGTATACCCGCACCCAGCTCTACCCGAACTCATTTTTCTCTCGGACAGTAACTGCGTGGAATGCACTTTCAAAGATCACCCTTGACGCTACTTCACTGGAGAGCTTCAAGGGAGCGCTTCCACCCAGCATCTAGACCAAGAACTAGATAGTTTATTCCTCAGCACTATACATCCTGACTTATGGATCCTGCTGAGTATCGTCGTAGAAGTAGAAGAGGGTAGTAGCTTTGCTATATAAATGGACCTATTTTCTTTTTCTGCTAGTCGATTAGTAATATACTTTGGACGCCAACGAATCCAACTGACCAATGAGAGAAATAAAATGGACTTATGAATGAATTTATGAGAATATTTTCGCAATATTGTGCCTCCTCTGACTTGTTCAAAATCCTTGATCCGCCCGTCCCGGGAGCTTTTTTTTATAAACCTAACCTTGCCATCGTATAGCTGCATTTGATTGGCTAAATAGGAACCATAAGTCATGCGCTAGTCATAAATATTCATGATACGCGCGCACACAGGATCCGATGCAATAATTTATCAAATAATGAGATTTCATACAAAAAATTACAAGTGCAAAGCTATTTTTAGTTAGAATAAATGACATTGCGAGAAAATCGGGAAAACCGTAAACGAATGACTACCCAGGTCATAAATTGTCGATTATCATTGCGACATACTGGTTAAGTCGAGAATCTGGCCGATTTAATTTTGATCTCCAACAATATACCAACGCAAATATTCATATATTCAAATATTAATATGCAGGGCAGCGTGGGCAAGGTTAGGTTTAAAAATACGCGTCCCGGGAGCAGGTAATAACATTATTTGACAGAATTGGACCAATGGTGGCCTTCCGCATAGCTATGCATAGGTATCGTAAATATTGTAATGTAAATTCTATTATCTTTTTCAAGTAAAAACGGAGATTAGCAATAATTCAGTAAACCGAGCCATTAGTTAAATATTTAATATTTGCTGAGCATAAATATCGTGTAAAAAAGTCAAACAGTTGATTATAGTTTACGCGAGCACCATTAAGATCTTCTTTTTTTACCGTAAGGTGGGAATGCTGTCATTTTTTCAGCACAGTAAGTTAAGGTAATGAATATAATGTTTTAAAAAAACCTAGGATTGAGAGCCAAATGAATGAAATACCATACCACGACATCTCCTTTCACGACACAGTCCTTTTAAAAAGGGAAAGCTTTTAAAATACCAGAGGGGGGGGGGGGGGTAAACAGATATACAAAAATGAATGCAAAAGATTATTCATCCCGGACGATTCGAATGATAATTATTTGATTTAAAAAAGAAATTGTGCAATGTACGACGCACCAATATATTGAAGGTATATAAATCTACATTTTTCTCTTTTTTTGTTTTAGTGTATACATCATTGTATTGTATATATTTTGATAAATGTATATAACATTTGCATTATTGTTCATGTATATTATGTACAAACAGCCTTTGAATGTTTCAATAAATTATCAAATATAATCCGTTGTGTGACATGGTTCAGTCTTTTGGCGCATATTAATCAGTGTCACCGGTAGAGAATGGTATACACAAATTGCAACTACTTTCAAAGACTCAACTATAGGGCAATTTCAATATGATGTAAATCTTAGAAATCATGTTCGGTTTAAGTGATTTGTAATTTTCATGTTTGCTAATTTCAACAGGTGACGCACAATCTTATTAATATTTCTTTAGGTTGATTCTCCGAAAGTAGTTACTATTGTGTTCTGTAAGAATACAAATCCCATGTCCTGTTTTTGCATACCTCCCCCCCCCCACCCCCACCCCTGTATGCGTGTGTGTGTGTGTGTGTGTGTGTGTATGTGTGCGCGCGCGCGCGTGTGTGTGTGTGTGTGTAATCATCATGTTAACTTCCTAACATGATCAGGTAGGCTACTTCTCTAATCTTTCACTGCTTGAATTTTTTATTGTGAGTCAATTCTACATTCATTTGCAATTGAAAACAACTCAGTTCAGTTCAGTTCAGTCTTTTTTTTCACTCTCGATAAAAACAACATACATTATGTAAACAACTGAGCATCATCAATAGAAAACAATATAGAGCAATTAGACATAAATAATTTATGAGAATGAAGGATCGACGAAAAAGAGCAACAAGTTTTATCGAACGTTGACTCCATAATTGACAACACATACGACAAACAAACAGACAAACACATAAAATAATGAAACAAACATGCAATATATATGTATCACATTTCACGTTATGATTTCAACTTAACAGATGGAATGTATAACGGCGTTTAAAATAATTAAGTATTGGGCTGATCTTTAGTACAGGAGGGAGATTGTTCCATAGAGAAGGAATTAAAGGTAAAGACCAGTTATGGTCATGCGATTGCATTGTGAAAGAAACGTTGTGGAATCTATCAGAAAAGGTTGATCATCTAGCATCTAGCATCTGCAAGGTTCTGGAATCATCAAAATGATAAGAAATTTGGCCCATTCTTCGTAAAGTTACGAACACTATACACAGAAAGATGTATATGGGACTACCCTATATCTCTCACAGTCCATGAGAGAAACAAATTTACCAAATATATGAATTAGTAGGCGGTTTCCCGGTAATTTTTTCATCATCATGTATTAGTCAAAACATATTCTTTCACATGATTGGTAATGAGAGCTTCCATTTCATTTTTTGAAATTGGGGCGTTTCCAATACTGGCCTTTAACTTTAAACAAAATGAATTATGGGAAATCAAAATAAATGATAATTAGATTAATTATGAGTATAATGTTAATGTTTTGTTAAATTAAGGAAGAAAAAACAAAGACATGATTAACTGGAGTATAAGACCAGGGGGTGTTAAGTCGAACTTAAATCTAAGTTGGACTTTAAAATTATGGAGAGCCAACTGTAGCCTTAAAATAAAATATATAGTATTTTACACTTGTTATACTTTCCACATCAAGAACATGAAATCTCCTTGATGATAACAAATATGAATGATTTAATGAACATTTTATGCTTTTTTTAAATAACTTTTACAACATATTTCCAAAGATGCTATCGGATTTCCATAATTGTTAAGTCCAACTTAGAGATAAGTTCAACTTAGGATCTTTGTGAAGCATCCCCTTGTGAACAAAAAAACATTAAAAATGCAATGTTAAATCTTGTTATAACGTACAATTGAGTAATATAAATTATGAAAAAGTATTGAAGGTGTGGGGCAGGAAAGAAATCATTGGAACTTATTCCTAAGTCTATTTTCTGAAGTAAAAACAATCTGTTGATAAAGTAATGGGACGCGTTGGACCAAACAATATTACAATAACTGAAATGAGAAACAACCAAAGCACGATATCACATATTCAAAATATATTTCGGAAATGTTGTAATCGATAAGAAAATTTTAACACCTTGAACCTCAAACTGCCACAGATCTAAAAACAAAGTTGTTCTGTACCAATCAAATGCAATATCAGTAGCTTGTTAGTAGTTGGTAATGATTATTAGTTGCTTATAACATTACCAGTAGTTTAAAACTATTATCATTGTAACTTTATACAAATATCAATTACATCAAACGCGACCCTGATCGCGATACCGCGAGAATCAAACACAATGTAAAGTATGTATACAGGCCAATAAACGTTATTTTCATGAAGCCAGTGGCGGATCCAGTGGTGGGAGGCCGGGGGACATATAAGGTATCAAAATATGTTCATCTGACCGTAATTAAATGCCTGAAACCCCTAAGTTTCCGGGGCTCCACCCCCTCGACCCCGCCAGGGGCCCTAAGGCGGGCCCGTGCATGCTTGTCTGACCGTAATTGCCCAAAACCCTTGAGCTTCCGGGGGCTCCGCCCCCTGGACCCCACACCAGTTTGTGTCTTGCCAGTGTCACAAAAATAAGGTATCAAAATATGACAGTAATTAAATGCCTATACCCCTTAGCTTCTGGGGGCTCCACCCCTTGACCCCCGCCGAGAAACGTTAAGCGGGGCCTGCATGTAAGAGTGGGGTGATGGGGATTTTTGTTGTCTCCCCCCCCCCCCATATGGAAACGTTTGCTTGTATTTGTCTCATAAAAGAATATGAGCACGAACTGACTCCCACACGGTGTTGAGTGCTCAGGGGTCACAGGCCAATGGCTTCATCGGGCAGGTATTTCCATTATGTGAATGGGTAAATTAACTATTACAAAATGAGGGGACACGTTACATTGTACAATAGGGACACACATTGTTTTATTGTGCAGAACATACTCTTTTATTGACTTACTTATTGCATGAAACTATATAACCAAAATGCATTTTGTATTCTAACAATTGGAGTACAAAGAATAATAACAGGTGAATGAAATGCATAAACACCACAAACACCTGGGGAGGAAGCATTCATAAATTTGAATACATATGATAAACGACTCCGATGAAACTATAAAACCAAAATGAAATTTGCGTTCTGGCAATTGGAGTACAAAGAATGATAGCAGGTGAATGAAATGCTTCAACAGCAACACAAACACCTGGGAAGCTAGGAAGCGTCCATAAATTTGAATAATTTAGTTGATAAACGACTCCGCATGTGGACATTTGTTGGAGCAGAAAGCAGTGGATTCTTAACAATACGAACCTATTTAACATAATGTCGGAACGTAAATTAAATTTGGCGCGGTTGGAAAATGCATCTTTCTACTCTGCAACTTTAATGGTACGATCCAGTAAATTAAAACAATAAAATGGCTCTTATTTTAAAATTACTCTTTAAATGAAACCCAAAACTTCAGTGATATCAGAAAAAATATGTTATATCTTACTAATAATTAAAAAAAGATGTATAAACATTGTAAAAGTGTCGCATTTTACGATAAAATACACCGATTTAGCAAAGATCACGTCATTAGTGCGCTTGCATCCGGGAATTCAAGGTCAAAAGGTCAATTCAGACGCTGATGAGTTGTTGGTCGAGCATTTTTGTTTTCTTTATTCCGACAAAATTATACAATCAATCAAAATAAGTTTGATACCAGAAGAAAGCTAACGATTAGTATTTTCATTAACCGCTTGCCCCAAAGTCTCTTGACCACAGTGAAACGAGTGAGAGTTTGCGAGAGCGGCCAAAGTGTGATTGAAACTCGCTATTTGCTCTTCTCCAACGCAAAAAGAGACGACATTGTGCTGGATAAATGTATTTTTTCCGACAAAAGTACAGAAAATTTGCATATAGTCTTTTTATATTATACTTTATGAAATGTTACCCGAGTGACTTCCGGGCGCCCCAATACTGGAAAGAAACGCACATTTTAGAAAACTTCACTTTTTCATGGAAAAATGCTTATTTGTTCTATGCACGCAAGTCAGATTGAGCGGATGATACAACGTTTCCATATGCCCAAATGTTTTTGCCACTGCCGGTGTCACCATTACGTACCAATATTTGGATATTTGCATAATTTCAAATTTGCCCCCCCCCCCCCCTCCCCCTAAGAAATCTTGGATCCGCGCCTGCATGAAGCGGTAATAGCTTGTAATAACGACGACCAGCATGACATGATGTTTACACAAACTCGATCCAAAGTGTTGGTCTGTGAAGGTTTTTGACATCATTTTGACCGTGAACTTTCCAGGATATCCTCAGCATCCTCCTCCAACACCACATTTCGAAAGCGTGGATTTCCTTTTTATCTGTTGCTCAAAGAGCCCGCATCTATGTGTGTATGTGTATGTGTAGTAGGTGTAGGCCAAACAAAACCATTAGCATATTTTGTATTACCTATCATTTTTACATTTCACATCTTTCCTTCGCTGCAGGCTTATTATGAGATCATATTAAACATTTTGAGGTAAACAATTTCTAAACAATATGTTGTCAGTCGTGTTGTTTCTAAAGAGTAACGATTTTAGGTAAATGGAATCGTAATAATATAGATGTAAAAAAGGGAAGGAGATATAAAGAATATAAGTGGAAGTCACGACGTTGTATCTGGCGTTTTATTTATCATGGAGTTAAACAAATCATGTGAATTATATCACTATGAGGTTCGTTATCCAAAACGGTATAACATATATTTAATTCAGACCAATGTCAATGCGTTAGTTTACTTTACTTTACTTTAGTTTGATTAACATGACTGCTAAGAAAGCATGTGACCGTCGCGAAGGTCCTCTCCTTACGAATCGACTTAGTTTCGAACCCGGGATTACCAGGTTACGAAACCACTACTCTACCACTGAGCCTTCATCTATGCAACAGAGCTATGAGGGGCAAGCCAAATACAGCTCCTGAGACACAGACTAACTACCAAAGAATCTGGTTGTTCTCGGGTTAAGCCTCGGTCACAAATGCCATAACGAACTGCGACGAACGCCGTACGAACGATTTTCAGACAATGGAAATTCGGGAAGACAATGAAAAAACAAGGAGATTCGTACGAAACTATCGTTCGTACAAACCTTTGTGACCGTAGCATAAAGTTGTAAATAATCTCCCCGAAATCAAGGAAATTA